AGGAGCAGGTGCTGAACCGGTGGCGCCATTTGAAGGACGCGCTCATCGAGAAGAGGTCCAAATTAGGCGAATCGCAGACTTTGCAGCAGTTCTCGAGGGATGCGGACGAAGTGGAGAACTGGATCGCCGAGAAGCTCCAGATGGCGATGGATGAGAGCTATAAGGATCCCGCGAACATACAGTCCAAGCACCAGAAGCATCAGGGTATGTGGCACTCCATTGTGTGGGTTATGATTGTCTGGCTATTATAGCTGTTTGTTAGGCGCCCATAGATTTAGCTACTATTAGGTTATATGAATAGCTAATTGTTAATTGGTTTTGTAGTTAATGTAATGTTAATTAAATTAATTATAATTAGAGTTTTGTTTATTTGTTTTGTTAATGTCAATGAAAATGTGTTTACAATTAATGCGAATATTTGACAAGTTTTGTGACATTCATTATAATTAATGTGAAATACACACACTTATCGTAAACTCCGCCTTAACCGCCGGTTATTCCTAGCGTAAGTCAGCCACGACCGCTACCCGCTGTTAGACTAGGCATTGGCGTTCACGCGCCCGTCACTCCTCCGGCAGGTCCAGAGGCTCACCTCAATCGCCGAGCAGTGGACACACCTCTCGCAGAAGACGACCGAAAAGTCGCTGAAACTAAAGGAGGCGAACAAACAGCGGACGTTCAACGCGGCCGTCAAAGACATCGACTTCTGGTTAGGAGAAGTGGAAGGACTGCTCAAGAGTGAGGACTCCGGCAAAGACTTGGCGTCCGTTCAGAATCTGATTAAAAAACATCAGTTGGTTGAGGCGGACATCCAGGCCCACGAGGACCGCATACGCGACATGAATGGGTTGGCCGACAGTCTTATAGAGTCGGGTCAGTTCGATACGGCCACCATTCAGGAGAAGCGCTCGTCTATTAACGAACGGTACGTCTGTCCCCCATATGTCTACGGACTCCAGGTTTTGTGTGTTTGCTATAATGAAAGTGCGTTTGAATGGAGTTTTAGTGCACTTATAGTTGAGTTTTGTATTTATGCTTTAAATTGAATTTAATTTTATTCGTATAACTTATTTAAAGTAAGTTTTATTTATGCTTAAAGTAAACACAATTTTCAATTGAATCTATGATTTAAAATAACTGTTTATTAATTGAATTACTTTTTTGACTGAACGTGTCGTTCACTCCTAACAACTCATACCTCATGGGACGGCACCGATAGGTACGAGCGGGTGAAGACACTGGCGACCTACCGGCGCACTCGACTGAACGAAGCGAATACTCTGCACCAGTTCTTCAGAGACATCGCGGACGAGGAGTCGTGGATCAAAGAGAAGAAGCTGTTGGTCAACAGCGACGACTACGGACGCGATCTGACGGGTGTACAGAATTTGCGCAAAAAACACAAACGCCTGGAGGCGGAGCTCCAGTCGCACGAGCCGTCCATTCAGGCCGTACAGGACGCCGGCCAGCAGCTGATGGTTGAGAGCAATCTGGGAGTGCCGGAGATCGAGCAGCGGCTACAGGCGCTCGAGCAGAACTGGCACGACCTGAAACGCATGGCGCAGCTCAGGGGCAATAAATTGGAGGAGTCGCTGGTCTTCCAGCAGTTTTTGGCTAAAGTGGAGGAAGAGGAGGCTTGGATTTCGGAGAAGCATCAGCTCCTGTCCATCGAGGACTACGGCGACACTATGGCCGCCGTTCAGGTGTGTGTTGTTTCATGGGATCGGGATTTGCATTCAGTTTTGGTGTAGTTTTGTGTGTTTTTCAGGAATAGGGAATTGAATGGGTTTTAGGCATTCATTGCCAGTAAGAGTCGGCACTAATTAATAGCCTTTTTTGTGTCCCAAACGGTAGGGTTTGTTGAAAAAACATGACGCCTTCGAAGCGGACTTCGCTGTACACCGGGAGAGGTGTGCGGACATCATAAACGCGGGCCAACAGCTCGTCCAGGAGGGGAACCACCACTCGGACGGCATTCAACAGCGTCTGCAGCAACTGTCCACCCGTTTAGACGCGTTAGACGGCAGCGCCCGGCGCCGTAAGGGTAAGCTGTTGGACAACTCGGCGTACCTGCAGTTCATGTGGAAGGCCGATGTGGTCGAGTCGTGGATCGCCGACAAGGAGGTACAGGTGCGCAGCGATGACTACGGCCGCGACCTCTCATCCGTGTCCACTCTGCTCACGGTTTGTGGAAAATTGTGNCTGGACGGCCTCCTCACTGCCCGCGCACTTGCGGTTACGGATCAGATTGTCGCCCATCGCCAGCACCGACTGAATGCGATCCTTATTGGCCGCCAATTCCGCCTCAAATGCTATTCACACACATAAATACATTGATTATAATGAATGTCACAAAACTTGTAAAACTTGTCAAATATTCGCATTAATTGTAAATACATTGTTCACTGACATTAACAAAACAAATAAACAAAATCTAATTGCAATTAATTTAATTAACATTACATTAACTACAAAATCAATTAACAATTAGCTAATCATATAACCTATTAGTAGCTAAATCTATGGGCGCCTAACAAACGGCTAATAACTAGACAATCATAACCCACACAATGGACTCCATTGAATGGAGTGACACATACCCTGATGCTTCTGGTGCTTGGACTGAATGTTCGCGGGATCCTTATAGCTCTCATCCATCGCCATCTGGAGCTTCTCGGCGATCCAGTTCTCCACTTCGTCCGCATCCCTCGAGAACTGCTGCAAAGTCTGCGATTCGCCTAATTTGGACCTCTTCTCGATGAGCGCGTCCTTCAAATGGCGCCACCGGTTCAGCACCTGCTCCTTCTTGTCGTCGATAGCCGGCGCCGCATAGTGCTCGCCGTCAATCAGCTGCTGAGCCAAACCCGTTAGGGCTCCGATCTTCTCCTCCTGAGCGCTGATCGCTTTATCGAAGTCCTCGTGCTTTTTGATGAGCGACTCCACGTTATCGCCGCCCATGTCGTCGCTGGACAGGAAGGCCTCGCGACTGGCCATCCAGTTCTCCGCCTGTTCGCAGTCGCGGTAGAAGAGCTGCAGTTCGAGGCATTGGTCGAGTTTCGAGCGCCGGCCGATCCACGCCCTCTCCAGCTCTTCGCGCGCTCTTTGCATTTGATTCAACTTTTCCTGCACTTCGGGCGACGCGTAGTGTCCCGACTGAAGCAAGTGTTGGCCGAATACCTCGAACTGTTGGAAAGTGCCGGTGCGGGCGTCGATCTCCGTCCGGTGCTCCTACACACGGGGGGCACAGGTAGACAAACGTTGAGATTATTATAACAATCATTTCAATTACGGGTTAAACGAAACAAAACAAAAATCTATTCAATACTGAAATGAACGTCAACTCCATTTCCTAAATACCTGATGCCTTTCCAGCAGCGCCTCGGCGCCGGTCACGTCAGTGGCCATCTCGTCGCTGGACACCAGAGTCATCATCGAGTTGATCCAAGACATGAGATCGCGATAATCGGTCAAAAATGTCTGCAAATCGTACGAATCCAAGAGCTTCTCCTTCCGGGCGTTCGCCTTAGCCGTCAGTTGGCTCCAGTCCTCATTGATCTCGCGTTGCTTTTCGTACGTCTGTTCGGCGGACTCCGGGTGCGATTGCATGAGCCGACGGGCCGTCTCATCCAACTGCTTGATCTTATCTCCGAGTGCCGCCAAATCCCGTTCCAGTCCCTCGTGTTTGCGCTGTAGGGTCTGCACCGACCGCAGGTCGTGGCCGTAGTCGTCGTTACTCAACGCCTCGTCCTTCTCCTGAATCCAGTCCTTCGTCTCGTCGACGTCTCTGTGAAAGCGCTGCACCTCGTGGGCCGACCCCAACTGCGTGGCCCTCTCCTGCGTCACCTCCTGAAGGTGTGTCCACTTCTGGTTCAGCTCATCCACCTGTTGCGTGATCTTAACCGCAGCCTCCGTCTGGCCCAATGAGGACAGTTGGGTCGCAATCTCGTTCATCTCAGCCAAGCGGACCTCATTGGCCCGCAGGTCGCCCATGAAGTCGTCGAACTTCTTCTGGAGGACCTCCACCTGTTCCAAGTCGTCGCCCACTTCGTGCACCTGAGCTACCTGTTCCTTGTCTTTGATCCATTGCGCCAACTCTGCCGCCTCTCTCACCAATTGGTACGCTTTGCACGACTCCTCCAATTTGGCCTTACGTTCCCTTCGATAGGCAATCCATTCGTTAAATTACAATCAATTGTGTGTTTCATTCAACAGTCAATTAAACACTAAACTAAACGCTGCCATACCTTCCGAGCGCCAGTAGGTTGTCGTACTGGGCCTCGATCTGTCCCTGTCGGGCGCCTATACTGTTCTGATCGGCCAAATGCTGTTGACTGGCGCTGAGCACCGCCTCGATCTTCTTGACATAGGCCGCCGGTACGAACCCCTGGCGGTCATTCACCTCCACTTTCCACCAGTCCTTGTTATTGCTGTTCAAAAGGGTCAATACGTCGCCCTTTTTCATAGACACCTCTCGGGGCGACTTCTCGGTGTAGTCATACAGAGCCATAACGCACTCTTTGCCCGCCTGGTCGCCGGCGGCCGGCTGTTCCTGTTGGCGACAGTTCCTCGACTGCGCCCTCAGCGCCTGTATTGTATTGCTGAAGGCGTCCAAGTCGGCCATCAGCGCCTCGTGTTTCTTAAGCAACGCCTCCGTCGAGTCCTCGTCTTTGCCGAAGTCATACGAACCCACAATCGGCTCCTTTTCCTATTTGGACGGCATAGCCATTAGTATACACCACATATAAACTCCAGTTCCCATTCGCAGAGGCGAACACTCACTTTCATCCAGGACTCGGCCTCATTGGCGTCGGCGAAGTACTGGTGCGCCTGCAGGGAGTCCTCCAAATCCTGTTTGCGTTGATTCGCCTTATCCTTCAGCGAATGCCACCTATCGTTCAGTCCGTACACACGGGTCTGGATCTCGTCGACGGCGAAGTGTCCCTCGCGTATCATATCCTCGGCGGCGTCGCACACACTGCGTATGCGGTGCTCGTGGTTATGGATCTCCGCCAACACCGCCTGGTGTTTCTTAATCAGGTTCTGGACGCCAATTAGATCGCGTCCCCTATTGGTGGAGGCGGCGATCGGCTCCTTCTCGCGGATCCAACTCTCCTCGTCCTCGATGTCGCGGAACAACTGCTGCACCCGTAGGGCGTCGTTCAGGCGATCCCTGCGCGCCTTAATCGGCTGCTGCAGCGTCTTATAGCGCTCGATGAGCGCCGACTGTTTCGCTTTGATGGCGTCGGCGTCGAAATGGCCGCCCTCTACGAACTGGTTCGCCTGAATCACCACACCGTCCACTCTGTCCTGATGTGACAGTACGTCCGCCTCGAGGAGCGCCTGCTTTTTGAGCAGATTCTGCACAGACGTCAAGTCGCGGCCGTAATCCTCGGACCCGAGTTGACCCTCGATCTCCGTCAGCCAAAGCTCGATGTCCTCAACACCGCGATTGAACTGTTGCTGCGCCGCCGCCTCCGCCAACTTGGCGCCCTTACCGTCGGCCGCCTCCACCAACGACCTCCAGAGCTCCGATATCTGCGTAATCCTCTCCTCGATCTTCGGCGCCGCGTAATGGCGGCCATCGATCAGCTCTTTACCGACAGTCGTCACCTCATCGATGCGCGACTTATTGGCGTTCAGCTCCTGCTGGAAGTTCTCGTGCTTCTGGAGCTTTCCGTTCAGATTCGTCGGATCCAAATACGACTCATCGCTGGCCGTCTTCAGCTTCTCCGTGATCCAGCCCTTCGTCTCGTCGCCGTCCCTCTCGAACTGCTGCAACCGGTAGGAGTCCTCGAGCATCGCCCGCCGCGTGGCTGACCTCTCCAAAAGGGCGTTCCGGCGCTCGAGCAGCGCCTGTCGCCTCTGCGCCACGTCGTCGGTGGCGTAGTGCTGGCCTTCGATGAGTTTGGTGGCGAACTCGTCCAACGCCTTGATCTTCTCCTCCTGAGCCGCCAACGACTTCTCGAAGTCCTCGTGCTTTTTGATGAGCGCCTCCACCGAGTCGAGTGAGTCACCCAAGTCCTCGTTGGCCAGGAAGGCCTCCTGTTTGGCCATCCAGGTGTCCGCCTGTTCGGTGTCCCTGTAGAACAGCTGCAAATCCATGCACTGCTCGTATAGTATGCGCCGGTCTTCCCAGAGCGCGGTCAGCGACTGCTTCTCGTTAGACAATTGGATCAGCTTTTCGTTCACTTCGTCTCGAGAGATATTCTGCTCCAGGAGTCGATGGCCGGCCTCACCGGTCACGCGGAAGCTGTCGGCCCGGGCGTCGATCTCACCCCAGTGTTCCTGATGCGAGTGGACAGGGATTAGAGCGAATGGTTTGGCGTGAAAACGAGTGCTAAGTGTCAATACCTGATGCCTTTCCAGGAGCGCCTCAGCGCCGGCCACGTCTTTCGCCAACTCGTCGGCCGAGATAATGGCTTTCATGTCGTGGACCCACGATATCAGGTCCCGAAAGTCGGCCAAAAACTGGTGCAACAGATACGACTCGTCCAGACGGCGGCGTCTCTCCAGCGCCTTCGACTTCAGCTGTTCCCATGTGGTGACAATCTCCGAGTGCTTGGCGCGGGTCTGGTCGGCCAGATCCTCGTGTATGCCGCACAGGCGGCCCGCCTCCTGACCCAAAGTGTCCACTTTGTCCGAAAGGGCCGCCAAATCGCGTTCAATGCCCTCATGTTTCTGTCAATCAATCACAGCATTTGCCGGGCGTTTAGTATACAATCAATTGGTGGCCGACTATCACAGCCACAGATCTAATGGACACTCACTCGCTGTAGGGTCTGAACGGACACCAAATCCCTGCCGTAATCGTCGGACGAGAGGACGGCGTCCTTTTCGGTGATCCACGCGATCGTCTCATCAGCGTCTCTGTTAAACCTCTGGATCTCGTGGGCGCCGAACAGCTTCTCCTGCCTCGCGAGCGTCAGTTGTCTCAACCGTTGCCACCGTTCGTTCAGCTCGTCCTTACGGCGCACCACGAGCTCGAGCTCCGGGTGGCGGTCACCAATCAGCTGATCCGCCTGTTCGTTGACGTCGGCTATGCGAGACTCCTGTGAGGCCATGTCCTTCTGGAACTCGTCGAATTTGCGCTGCAGGAGCTCCACGTGCTCGAGGTCTTTGCCGATCTCGTCGGTGGCCACGAACGTCTCCTTGTCGTTGATCCAGAACATCACTTCGTCGCACTGGCGCAGGAACTGCACCAACACGAGCGCCTGCTGTAGCTTCAGGCCCTTGTCGGCCAACCGGGACAGTAGGAGCTCCCATAGTCGGTGCAACTCATCCAACCGGTGCTGTGTATTAGATTAGGGATAAACATGCAATCAATTAGTCATTTTGTAACTTATTTACTAATTAAATATATTATGGCTATTGATTGTAATCGGGGTCACAAATCACTAAACGAATTCATTACTTAAACACCAATTAATGTCCTTTTATTATACATACAATCAATGAGTGATCACTGAACGCCTAAACAGCCCCATAATTAGCACACATTTACTAATCATAAGACATGTGGTGTCGGGATGTCGGGGTGGGAGGGGGTCGGGGCCCACAACTGTACGAAAGCACACAAACCTTGATGACATCGGTGGCGAAGTGTTGCTGATCGACCATCTCGTAGCCCTGCTTATCGAGCTGTACGATGGCGTTGGAGTGGGCGGCCACCTCGGCCTCAAAGGCCTGATGCTTCTGGATCTTCGCCTGAAGATTCGTGGGGTCTCTATAGCTCTCATCGGAGGCCGTCTGCAGCTTCTCGTTGATCCACGACTCGAGTTCGTCGGCGTCCCGTTTGAAGTACTGGAACCGACGCGAGTCCTCCAACTTAGACCTCTTGTCTTTAGCGTCGGACCTGAACTGCGCGTACCGGCCGAGCACTGTCTCCCGGCGCTCCTGTATGTCGTCTACTGTTTCCAGTATTTTGATGTCTTTGGGCGCCTGTATGTCCATTGTGTCGGTGTGTGTAGAGCCGTACGGCTGTCCACTACTGTATGGGTGTGTGGTTTGGATACAGATTATTATTATTGTAATATAATTAGTGAGTAATTAATTGTCGTTTAAATTAATGATTAGTTTTTGAAGTTATAGTTTAAAGGCTAGTGTATGAGTGGCACAGGTATGCGATAGGGATGTCTGTCCACTACTGCCCTATATATCACTGGTATGTGTGGTTTAAATACAAAATATAATTAACTAATTAATTGAATAACAATTAGTGATAATTAATTGCAAACAAAATTAATGATTAATATTTAAAAACATGATTAAAAGTCTATACGAGTGGCACAGGTATGCAATGGACAGGCATTGAGGGCGTTGTCTATAGCGGATAGACATGTATGGGATAAATGGCTTTGAAAAACACCATTTAGTCTGAATTACAATTAAAATGCAAATAAATGACAACAAATAAAACTTACGTTTAGTTTAATTGCGATATTAATCGCGAAATAAATAGTTAATTATAAATAAAACTGATTTTTAAATAAAATTTTTATTTTTGTATTTATTTTTTGTGTAAACGTCTCGCCGATGACTTCATTCATGGGGTCTCGCCGTAAATAACGTGCACTTAATGTTGCGTTCATTAGAATTCAAACCAATGCAAAAGGGTAGCAATTGTTAGGTGTATTTACTGCACGGTTTTTATGGTAAGGATTTAATTACAGTGACCTTCATATGGATACACTGTTTAGCATTAATATTATTTTACAGTTATTTACTGTATTAGCGTAAAAATGTAATCAACACAATTGCACCTCGGTGTTTACGCAATTAATTTAACCGGATAATATTGTGCACTATGAACGTGGGCGTAGCTAGTATACTTGTATAAAATTATATGTTTACCAAGCAACTTTAAGCCGATATAATTATATGTTCATGTATATAGGATGTAGAATATTCCGGATATTTATCGTGAATTTCACTGTATATGAGATAATATTTTTTGACATATCTATGATAAATGTATTAACGAATACTAACGGCTATTATAAGTATAATAAATTCTTGAGATTAGAAATTCTGTACAAATATTAAGATAAAAATGTGCGAAAAGTATAGTAAAGACAGTTTCGACAGATTTGGTGACGATTTGTGTGAAGTCCTGTTGAGTTACCTATCATTTGAAGACCGATTCCGATGTGAATGTGTGTCCACTCAATGGCAACGATTGGTATTCACGACACAAACAGTGCTCACAATAGACGAGAATTTGAGTGTAATCTCAGTTACGGGCAATGAATTCACGTGTGATTTACACGCGTTTGAGTTAATTGTGAGAAAGTGTCGGAATATTCTGTACGTTATGGTTAGCATCGAGTGTAAGCCTATGAATGAGATATTGGCGTTAATTGTCAACCATTGCCACCATTTGAATGCTATTAATAACTACTATTTCAGCGATATATGTGTCGATACTATCGGCGAGTTTTTCGCGAAGTTTGCAAAACAGTTAAAAGTATTGTGTTTTTACGGCTCCAGAGATGTTGCGCTAAATAATTGTATTGAAAATCATTACAAACTTTGTGTTCACTTAAAGGAGATTACAGTTTACGGCAGAAACACAATATTCTCGCAATTATTTTGCGCTAAAAATTTAATTTTGTTTCCCAGACTTAAAAAGTTTTGTTTCGTGTATTCCGCCGAAAATACCGATACTTTTGACATATTTGTGGAAAACTATGCAAAAAGTTTGCAATCAATTGATGTGACTATCGATAGGAGTTGTGACGAGAAGTCAATCGCTGTACTAATGACTGGTTTGTCACGAATGCGTGAATTAATTGATTTGCAAATTAACTATAGATGTGATGAGCAGTCAAATGATTACGAAATGGCCACTCAATTGAGACAAATGGGACTAAATTGTCGTAAACTGAAGCGATTGACACTAATTGTGAAAATAAATTCCGTGACACTTATGACGAGAATCATAGAAAGTATTAATAAATTCTTTAAACACATAAAGCGATTGAAAATTGTGGGCAAAATTCCCGAAGAATTTCCATTCATTAGTGAATCGCTGAATGAATTGAAATGTTTGACACATTTGTGCGTGAAATCCATTTATTGGTCGGAATTCACGATTTCTGAGCAATTCTTTGCGAATATCGCCAAAAACCTACCGAACCTTCAATACCTGCGCCTAAGATATACTGTAATTACGGATAATGTGTTGAATTGTATGTGTTTTATGACCAGAATTCAAACCATTAGACTCTATGGGAGGGAAGATTGCATACAAACCGGTGTCAAGAATTTGATGGAGAAATGTCCCAAAATTATTGAGATATCAATCAATAGTGCCATTAATTCTTGAGATTAAAGTTTTTTACAAAATTTAAAATATAACATTTTATGAATAACTAAAATTACTGTTATTATACATTCAATTAATAATAGTAGTAAACTAATTTCAAACTATTCATATTTATCTTATCATTAATTATATGGACTTTAAGAATATAAAATAATATTTTGTTTAATTATGTTTAAATTTAAATAATTCATTTAGAAAATATTAGTTATAAGTTGACTTTAAACTAGTAAAAGTTATTTAATGAAATAAATAATCTACATTTAATAAAAATAATTAAATTAAAACATGATATTAGAGACTATAGCTTTAAGTATGCATTTGTATGTAAATTATGTTTAATTACAAAAAAAATGAATAACTTATATTAATAATTTCCTAAATAAATTATAATTAAATAAATCCTTTAATTCACTTCCACCCCCACCCCTACCCCCATCTCCACACACCACTATCCATACGGGAGGCCATTATAATGATCGCGAATCATAATAGTCTGTAACTTCGGGAACCGATCGGTCATACGATCACCGGTTTCTTGTGTCACACCATTAGCGCCGTACAGATATACGGACTGAAGGGCCGGCAGTTTGGACAGCGATATGAGCGCCGACACTGATATGTTCAACGGATTCACGCAAAGCCATAAGTGTCTCAGTTTTGGCACATTTCGCGATATGTTCTCAAAAAACTCATCACTTGTGAGACCACCGGCGCCGCCAAACCGGTGCTCAACCGAAAAGTGCGTCAAATGTCGGCATTTCTTTAGGTCTTCACTCCTTAACACAAACGGTGTCTCAAAGTGTCCGCTAATATACAGCCGATTGAGACCACGGAAGCCATCACTGACTGGTCTAATGATATCGTCGACTACACGGACACCCGTTTCCCCGCAAATCACCGAAAGGCTCTTCAGTTGACCACAACTTCGGCCCAACTCTGAGAGTCGACTCGTGAGCGCCCGGAGTCTGGCGTCGCCGACGTAGTACTCCATGAGCTCGCAGTTGATCTCCAGATCCCGTAATTCACGCATTTGTATCAAACCGGTCACCAGTAGGTCGACGTCCTTCGCGTCGCACCCGTCGTCCACTGTCACCGACAGCGACGTAAAAGTCTTGAGTGTCTTATAGTAGTCGACGAACGCCTGAAACAGCGCTATGTCTTCGGCACAGAAGCGGAGGCTAAAGGTCTTGAGCCGCGGATACCACACCTCGTAGTTGTCGTACTCCTTGAACAGTGGCCGCAACTGACTGTCCAGTGGGTCAGCCCTTCGGGTACTGACACTCACGTCGACAGCGTTGACACAATTGTGAAGAATATTCTCGAAAACCGGAATCAGTTGCGAGTCAGCGATGAGTACGCGAATCGATAGCAACTGTTTGGCAAACTTCGCGAAAAACGTGTCAATCCTACCGACGCTCACGTGTTTGTAGTACAGGAAGTGAACGGCGTTTACGCGATCACAGTGTTTGACGATTAGGTCAACCATGGCGTCAGTGATGGGATACTCAGGGTATTCATTGAACTCAATGTACGCGAGTTGTGGACACTTGCGGACTATGGCCTCAAACTGCGATAAACTGACACAATATCGCAGGAAATACTTGTCTATAATAAGGTTGGTTTGTGTCGCGAAAATCACGCGTCGGAACTGTTTGGACACACTTTCCAAGACATACCGGTCCTCGACGGCCAGGTATGACAGCAGGTGTTCGCACAAGTCGTCGCCGAAGCGGTCCAACGAGTCTTTCGGATAG